TCAGAGTGCCTCCTTACATCAGGTGCCCCTTACATCATGTGCCCTCCTTACATCAGAGTGCCTCCATATATCAGGTGCCCCTTATATCAGAGTGCCTCCATACATCAGGTGCCCCTTACATCAGAGTTCCCCCTTATATCAGAGTGCCCCCTTACATCAGAGTGCCTCCATATATCAGGTGCCCCTTACATCAGAGTGCCCCTTACATCAGAGGGCCTCCTTACATCAGAGTGCCCCCATATATCAGGTGCCCCTTACATCAGAGTGCCCCTTACATCAGAGTGCCCCTTACATTACATCAGAGTGCTTCCTTACATCAGAGTGCCTCCTTACATCAGTGCACCCCTTACATCAGAGTGCCTCCTTACATCAGAGTGCCCCTTACATCAGAGTGCTTCCTTACATCAGAGTGCCTCCTTACATCATGCACCCCCTTACATCAGAGTACCTCCTTATATCAGGTGCCCCTTTATCAGGTCATCATCATGTGCCCCTTACATCAGATTGCCTCCTTACATCAGGTGCCTCTTACATCATGTGCCCCTTACATCAAAATGCCCCTTACATCATGTGCCCCCTTACATCAGAGTGCCCCCTTACATCATGTGCCCCTTTACATCAGAGTGCCCCTTACATCATGATCTGCCCCTTACATCAGAGTGCCTCCTTACATCATGTGCTCCCTTACATCAGAGTGACTTCTTACATCATGTGCCCCTTACATCAGAGTGCCCCTTACATCAGAGTGCCTCCATATATCAGGTGCCCCTTACATCAGAGTGCCCCCCTTATATCAGAGTGCCCCTTACATCAGAGGGCCTCCTTACATCAGGTGCCCCTTACATCATGTGCCCCCTTACATCAGAGTGCCTCCTTATATCAGGTGCCCCTTACATCAGAGTGCCTCCTTACATCAGGTGCCCCTTACATCAGAGTTCCCCCTTATATCAGAGTGCCTCCATATATCAGGTGCCCCTTACATCAGAGTGCCCCTTACATCAGAGGGCCTCCTTACATCAGAGTGCCTCCATATATCAGGTGCCCCTTACATCAGAGTGCCCCCTTACATCAGAGTACCTCCTTATATCAGGTGCCCCTTACATCATGTGCCCCCTTACATCAGAATGCCTCCTTACATCATGTGCTCCCTTACATCAGAGTGCCCCCTCTTACATCATGTGCCCCCTTACATCAGAGTGCCCCTTACATCAGAGTGCCCCTTACATCATGTGCCTCCTTACATCAGAGTGCTTCCTTACATCAGAGTGCCCCTTACATCAGAGTGCCCCTTACATCAGAGTGCCTCTTTACATCAGGTACCCCTTACATCATGTGCCTCCTTACATCAGAGTGCTTCCTTACATCAGAGTGCCCCTTACATCATGTGCCCCCTTACATCAGAGTGCCTCTTTACATCAGGTACCCCTTACATCATGTGCCCCCTTACATTAGAGTGCCCCCTACATCAGAGTGCTTCTTTACATCAGAGTGCCCCTTATATCATGTGCCCCTTACATCAGAGTGCCTCCTTACATCAGAGTGCCCCTTACATCATGTTCCCCTTACATCAGAGTGCCCCTTACATCATGTGCCCCCTTACATCAGAGTGCCTCTTTACATCAGGTACCCTTACATCATGTGCCCCCTTACATCAGAGTGCCTCCTTACATCAGAGTGCTTCTTACATCAGAGTGCCCCTTACATCATGTGCCCCTTACATCAGAGTGCCCCTTACATCATGTGCCCCCTTACATCAGAGTGCCTCCTTACATCATGTGCCCCCTTACATCAGAGTGCCCCTTACATCCATGTGCCTCCTTACATCATGTGCTCCCTTACATCAGAGTGCTTCCTTACATCAGAGTGCCCCTTACATCAGAGTGCCCCTTACATCAGAGTGCCTCCTTACATCAGAGTGCCTCTTTACATCAGGTACCCCCTTACATCATGTGCCTCCTTACATCAGAGTGCTTCCTTACATCAGAGTGCCCCTTACATCATGTGCCCCCTTACATCAGAGTGCCTCCTTACATCATGTGCCCCTTTACATCAGAGTGCCCCTTACACCATGTGCCTCCTTACATCATGTGCTTCCTTACATCATGTGCTCCCTTACATCAGAGTGCTTCCTTACATCATGTGCTCCCTTACATCAGAGTGCCCCTTACATCAGAGTGCCCCTTACATCAGAGTGCCCCTTACATCAGGTGCCCCCTACATCAGAGTGTGCCCCCTTACATCAGAGTGCCCCTTACATCAGAGTGCCTCTTTACATCAGGTACCCCTTACATCATGTGCCCCCTTACATCAGAGTGCCCCTTACATCAGAGTGCTTCTTTACATCAGAGTGCCCCTTATATCATGTGCCCCTTACATCAGAGTGCCCCTTACATCATGTCCCCTTACATCAGAGTGCCCCTTACATCATGTGCCCCTTACATCAGAGTGCCCCTTACATCATGTTCCCCTTACATCAGAGTGCCCCTTACATCATGTGCCCCTTACATCAGAGTGCCTCTTTACATCAGGTACCCCCTTACATCATGTGCCCCCTTACATCAGAGTGCCTCCTTACATCAGCGTGCTTCCTTACATCAGAGTGCCCCTTACATCATGTGCCCCTTACATCAGAGTGCCCCTTACATCATGTGCCCCCTTACATCAGAGTGCCCCTTACATCATGTGCCCCTTACATCAGAGTGCCTCTTTACATCATGTGCCCCTTACATCAGAGTGCCTCCTTACATCAGAGTGCCCCTTACATCAGAGTGCCCCTTACATCATGTGCTCCCTTGCATCAGAGTGCCTCCTTACATCAGAGTGCCTCTTTACTTCAGGTGCCCCTTACATCATGTGCCCCCTTACATCAGAGTGCCCCCTTACATCAGTGCCCCTTACATCATGTGCCCCCTTACATCAGAGTGCCTCTTTACATCAGGTACCCCTTACATCATGTGCCCCCTTACATCAGAGTGCCCCCTACATCAGAGTGCTTCTTTACATCAGAGTGCCCCTTATATCATGTGCCCCCTTACATCAGAGTGCCCCTTACATCATGTTCCCCTTACATCAGAGTGCCCCTTACATCATGTGCCCCTTACATCAGAGTGCCTCTTTACATCAGGTACCCCTTACATCATGAGTGCCCCCTTACATCATGTGCCCCCTTACATCAGAGTGCCTCCTTACATCAGCGTGCTTCCTTACATCAGAGTGCTTCCTTACATCATGTGCCCCCTTACATCAGAGTGCCCCTTACATCAGAGTGCCTCCTTACATCAGAGTGCCCCTTACATCAGAGTGCCTCTTTACATCATGTGCCCCTTACATCAGAGTGCCTCCTTACATCAGCGTGCTTCCTTACATCAGAGTGCCCCTTACATCATGTGCCCCCTTACATCAGAGTGCCTCTTTACTTCAGGTGCCCCTTACATCATGTGCCCCCTTACATCAGAGTGCCCCTTACATCAGAGTGCCTCCTTACATCAAGTGCCCCTTACATCATGTGCCCCCTTACATCAGAGTGCCCCCTTACATCAGAGTGCCTCCTTACATCAAGTGCCCCTTACATCATGTGCCCCCTTACATCAGAGTGCCTCCTTACATCAGAGTGCCCCTTACATCAGATTGCCCCCTACAGTGACCCCATACCTTTTAGAACCAGGCAGGCATATTGCTGTAGTCGGGAGGCAGGCTGCAGATCCTGGACAGAGAAAGATTCACCCCTGTCCTCCTGTGATGCTGGAGGCAGGGCATCCATGTGATGTCATTGGTTATAAGGATTCTGGAAGTCCTAACAGCCAATCACTGCTGGGGAACCTCTGCTGGGGACTCCTTGGTTAGCCGGAGGAGAACTGTCACTCAGTCTGGATCCCGGCTGCGGTCCGCACATTTAGGGGGAGCAGCACACTACAAGTCTTACACAGTAACTAGAAAGAGATTGGTAAAGGGCATTAGCACCTTAAACGTACCCAGTTGCAAAAAGGGGGAGCACTGGTACAACTGCCAAAAAAAACCCCAAAACAAATAGCCAAATAATGATAAACGAATGAAAGGAGTCTTTTTAGTCCTTGAGAAAAGTCCATATAAAACACTGTGGCAGCGTCAGCAGTTTCTGTTCCAAGCAGGATTCGGGAAGGCTCCTGCCCAGGGGCGGACTGACAACTCATGGGGCCTCTGGGCAGTAGGGGATCATGGAGCCCCTGTGTCCTTGCCCAAACTCAAAAAAGCCTATGAAAAAGGTACCAGGGGCATCTCATGGGGCCCCCTACTGACCCCGGGTCCTCGGGCAGTGCCCGATTTCTAAATGGTCAGTCTGCCCCTTCTCCCGCCAGCAATCCATGTATAAACAGAAAAAAGGAGGAGAGAAAAATGCTACTAAGTGTAGCATTTATTAAAATGTATCGATGAAATGAAAAACAATAAATATGCACTCACATTTAAAAGACATTAACCACTTTAAGTCCAAACACTTTCACCCCCTTCCAGTCCAGGCACAATTTCAGCTTTGAACTGTCACACTTTGACAATTACACAGTCATGCAACACTGCACCCATATAACATTTTTATCCTTTTTTTTTTAAACAGATAGAGCTTTCTTTTGATGGTACTGAATAACCACTGGGTTTTTTATTTCTTGCTATATAAATGGAAAAATACCAAAAATTAAAAAAAAAACATTTTTTGCTTAGTTTTTGTTATAAAATTTTGCAAATAATCTTTTTTCGTAACTTTAGGCCAAAATGTATTCTGCCACATTGTTTGAGTAAAAATAACCCAAAACAGTGTATATTTTTTCATTTGTGTGAAATTGGTAGGGTCTACAAACTAAGGTAGGGCTTAAAATTTAAAGTCCTGAGCTACTAGCCAGGCCTTAAGAGTTACTCGCCAACAACAAACACACACAAACAGAGACACCTGTACACACACACAGAAGAAACATGTACACACACGCACAGAGACACATGTATGCACACACACAGGCACGTACAGACACGCATACACACAGATACATGTACATACACAGAAATACACATGCACAGACACATGTACATACACACAGACACATGTACGTACGTACATACACACACACATACATGTACATGTACACACACAGACATGCATACACACACGCTGTTAAGTGCTCTTTCCTCTCCCCTGAAGCCACCACTGGCTGACATAGAGGATCATGTGACCAGAGTGAGTTGAAATTAGGTACACAAACACACACACACACACACACACACACATACATACACACGACCCTATAAAATGTTACAGTACTTTGCTGTTCACTCACAGATCCGGGTACTGCACTCTAGGGGGAGGCAGAGAGCACAGCACACACTCCTTGCTTTGCTTTCAATGCGCTCAGCTATTGAGCAGTCTGACGGCTCCCAGTGCCAATGACAGATCCGGCTGAGCTCCGAGCCTGCTTCAGCAAGACGGCCCTGGGGGACAAACTCGCACTCACCATAATTTCCACTCGCCATTGGCGAGCAAACGAGCAGAAATTTCAAGGCCTGAACTAAGAGATATATATATCTGAAAACTGACCCTAAAATGTCGAACACTGGTATGAGGTATGGCAGTGATCAGAACATTGGTATGAAGAATAGCAAAGATCCGGACACTGTTATGGGGTATGGTGGTGATCAGGATGCTGGTGGTGTGAGTATGGTGGTGATCAGGACACTGTTATGGCATATGGGGTGATCAGGAGGCTGGTATGGGGTATAGCAGTGATCAGGATGCTGGTATAGCATATGGGGTGATCAGAACACTGGTATGGGGTATGGTGATGATCAGGACGCTGGTATGGGGTATGGCGGTGATCAGGATGCTGGTGGTGTAGAGTATGGTGGTGATCAGGACACTGTTATGGAATATAGGGTGATCAGGAGGCTGGTATGGGGTATGGCGGTGATCAGGATGCTGGAATAGCATATGGGGTTATCAGAACCAGAACACTGGTATGGGGTATGGTGGTGATCAGGATGCTGGTATGGTGATGATCAGGACATTTGTATGGCGTTTGGCAGTTTTTATTGTTAGCACTGGGACAGGTGACAGGTGCTGGCTGAATTATTTGTTAGGGACTACACTGGGACAGTAATCAGGAACACTGGGCAGTGATCTGGGACACTGGGTTGGATGGCACTGCAGTTTGTGAGTGTACAAGCATCCTGACAGGCTGCAGCATCGCTTCTCTCTGCTCTCACAGTGAGAGCAGAGAAAACAAATCTTTAGTTTCACTTTTCATGGTTTACTATGCGATTGCTGTGATTGGACACAGAGGTAATGTGATCCGCTGTGTTCAGGTGACACACAGGGAGGCTCCGATGCGGGCTGACGTAAAGGCACAAAGTTAAAAAGCATATCGATATGTCTGGAGACCTTCCAGGTGGTCAGTGGTGAGCAAGCCCCTCCACGTGGATGTGATGTAAGGTGCTTGGAACTAGGAAGATGACATCTGGCGGAACGCCAGGAAGAGCCAGCGAAGCAGCAGTCTGAGTCCGTATGTCACATGGATGAGAACCTCTGTGGACAGCAGGGAAGCATTGTAGGCTCAAAGATGGCTGTGATGATGTCATGTGTGCTTTTTAATGTCTTTTAAATGTGCATATTTATTGTTTTTCATTTCACCAATATATTTTCAAGTAGGTAGTGGCCGTCTTCTCACCTTCTTTTTTCTGTTTATACTGGTCTTACACAACAACTGGTGAAGATCAGGGGAGATCATACGACCCAAACTAACAAGTGACTTCCAGAAGACAAGAGACTTCCACCCCTTCCCCCTCTCCTAACAGTCACTTATTTGGTTTAGTCACTGTTGGAAGGCAACTTGTATTTATATCAGATATTTATGGATTCTTACTGCCTGGTTATCAAAGAACCATTTGGCCTGTTGGATGTCATCTTGGAGTGTCAATAAAGCAAGAATTTACAACAGGATGTGTGTAACAAAAGGCCGCATCCCAAAATCCTGGTCCTGGGAGTTCACACATCCCCCCTAGCGGTGGGGCATGGAGATAAGGGAGCCTCAGCCCAGATTCCTTGGTGACAGGAAGATGAAAAGGACAGATTACATGGCTTTTAGCCAGAAGGAACAATTGAGTACTGTCCGTGATACTTTTTTTATTTGCACTAACATACAATTTTGAGGACAAGCTTTCGGGGAATGTCCCCTTCTTAAGGTCTAAGCAGTACTGAAACAAAGATTTAGCAGAATGTTAGAAGAGATGGGGGAAAAAAAAAATCTCTTCTAACATTCTGCTAAATCTTTGTTTCAGTACTGCTTAGACCTGAAAAAGGGGACATTCCCCAAAATTTGTCCTCATAATTTAGTGCAAATAAAAAAAGTATCACGGACAGTACTCAATTGTTCCTGTCCCAAATGCAGTAATACGGCTACAATCACCTCAAGCCAGAAGGAAGAAACGGATGTGGACTAGAATGCTGACCTGGGTCATAGCATTTTTGGCAATATAGCAGTGCCCCTGGTGGAGACAACGACATACTTCCGGGAGGATGGCTGGGGTATTACTATACATCCTAATGAGTAGGGAGGACAGCCCCTTATGAGTTATGGACTGTCGCCCATTGGACGGAGGACTACACCAGGCGGGTCAGGGGTGTTTGTGTGGGTGGAGTCTGAGAGTGCTTTTAAATGCAAGTCTGGCCATGCTTGCTCTCTTCTTCCCTCTTTCTACCCAGGGCCCAGCAAAAGGATACTCAACTTTGAGGACAAACTTACGTAATGTATCATCTTTACTACTTTATTTCTATATGCTCTGTAATATTTGTTTAGATTTCTCTGTTAGTGTTTTACTTCCTTTGTAAATATATAAAACCTTGCTTCCTTGAATATTGTATTTATTAGTATAGCTAATATTGTAATATATTGCTTCCATCAATATTGTCAAAGCTTGGATAGACTAGCTAATTATAAGGACCGACAAGATCAGTTCTCAATTTAAATATAAATAGGAGGATTCCAAAACCACCAACCCCCAATTTTTATTTGTCATCTATACACAAAGTACTTCTAAGCTTGAAGGTAGTGCTAGGCTTTCTTTTTAGAAAGCCCGACTTGCTTTGTAAAGTGAGAATGGCACATTTACACAGTAATAAAAAGTATAAAAAATAGATAAAATGGGAGAGTGGCTTCAGCTTAGAATGTGAGCAGCCACTGATTTTAGGAGCTCCATCTCAGCACACCATGTGAGAACATTATCCTGTTTATACCTGTGCACCTTCTGCCCAGTTTTAATCTTACAAATCCAGAGCATTCACCTTCCACAGATAAACAATCCCCAACCCCATCATCCACATAACCAAGCCAAATGCTAAGCCAGAGGCTTCCTTAGCTGGTTGTGAAGCTATTACTAAGGTTTTGATGGGAACAAGCTAGCATTCAGCTGGATTTGTTTGGGTATGCCAGATTGCTTCTCTTTTACCAAATAAAGTATTGTGAAGGATTGTTACCAGACTCCAGTTCTCCCTTCAAAATGTTATATTGTGGAGGTGTACGAAGACCTGAGCTGTTATGCCTGACATTCCTTGTGTGTATACGAACATAAAGGTGGAGATACTCTTGTGATACATCTATACAGTCATGGGCAAAAATATTGGCACCCTGCATTTCTGTCGGATAATGCACTGCTTCGCCCAGGAACGTATTGCAATGACAAATGTTTAGGCATTCTCATGTTTATTTCTTTTGTTTGTATGACACAAAAAGTGGAGAAACAAAAAGCCAAATCTGACACTTTCAATGCAAAACCCCAAAAATGGACTGGACAAAATTATTAGCACTCTCAATTTAATATTTGGTAGCACACCTCTTGGAAAAAATAACTGAAATCGATCGCTTCCTGTAGCCATCAATGAGTTTCTTACACCTCTCTACTGGAATTTTGGGCCACTCTTCTTTCACCAACTGCTCCAGGTCTCTCAGATTGGAAGGGTTCCTTTTCCCAACTGCTGTTTTGAGATCTCTTCATAGGTGCTCTATGGGATTGAGATCTGGACTCATTGCTAATCAGTTCAATACTCTCCAGTGCTTTGTCTGCAACCATTTCTAGGTACTTTTTTATATCTGCTTTGGGTCATTTTACTGCTGTAAGACCCATGACCTCAGACGGAGACCCAACTTTCTGACACTGGGCTCTACATTGCACCCCAGAATTCTTTGGTAGTCTTCAGATTTCATAATGTCATGCACACAGTCAAGTCATCCAGTGCCTTAAGCAGCAAAGCAACCCCAAAACATCAGTGAACCTCCATTATGTGTGACTGTAGGGACTGCATTCTATTCTTTAAAGGCCTCATCTGCAAGCAGTAGAATGATGAGCTGTTATGTTATGTCTGTCCACAGCACATTCTCCCAAAAGGATTTTGTCTTCCTCAGGTACGTTTTGGCAAACTCCAATCTGGCTTTTTTATGTTTCTGTGTCAGCAATGGGGTCCTCCTGGGTCTTATACCATAGTGTCCCTTTTCATTCAGATGGCAATGTATAGTGAGAGCTGACACAGTTGTACCCTGTGCCTGAAGGACAGCTTGAATGAAGTTCTTTAGTCACCATTCCAATAATCCTTCATTGCAATCTTTGATCAGTTTTACTCTTTCATCCACGTCCAGGGAGATTAGCTCCAGTGCCATGGACTGTAAACTTCCTGACAACGTTGTGCACAGTGGACACAGGAACATTAAGATCTCTGGAGATAGACTTGTAACCTTGAGATTGCCCATGCTTTTCCACAATTTTTGTTCACAAATCTTCTGACAATTCTTTGCGGTTTCTCTTCTCCATGCTTCATGTGGCACACAGAGACACACAACAGAAAGGTTGAGTCAATTTTTCACCATTTTAACTGGTTGCCGTGTGATTTCGATATTGTCAGCCCGTTAATTGATACAGGTGAGTTTAATTGCAAATTACAGGAGCATCACAAACTTGGAATGCAATTATTTCTCACAATTTTGAGAAGGTCCCAATAATTTTACCCAGTCTATTTTTGGGGTTTTGTGTGAAATGTGTCATATTTGGCTTTTAGTTTCTCTGCTTTTTTTTTGTGTTATACCAATAAAAACAAAAGAAATGAACGTGAGAATGCCTAAACATTTTAAATTGCAACAATTTTCTGACCAAACAGGTGCATTATCTGGCAGAAAAGTAGGGGTGCCAATATTTTTTGCCATGACTGTAGCTGTGGAGATGACCCTTTACTGGATCAAGATACTTTTTCTAACCAGTTTACCGCTGTTGAAATCCAGTGTTGAACATTTGGCTTTAATTACAGCAAATAGAACAGCCCTGATAGGAGTTTTGGTGCAGGTTAGAGTGGATGTGGGTCTACTTTGCCAGGATTTCCACACTTACCAAGACTGAGTGTGGGAGTCAGAATGGAAGATCTATAATGTGAAGGATTGGTGGTCACATATGGATGATAAATTGGCTACTCCTGAGTGGCGGGTCACAGTGGGGCAGAACCGTGCTGAGTACTTTTGTAAGGGTGTGACGCATGGA